TGCAATTGAAGGAAACTTAAAGCCTTAGGTCTGAGTTTGGAAGAGCTATTCGTGATAAGTTTCAGCTGGAGAACCCTACTGAAGAGATATGAAGATTGATCAGACTGATGCTACCAAATGTGTCCCTACCTGGGCTAATATTGTCAACGGGATTAAGTTGGCCTCTAGGGGAATGAAATTGGACTTCATAATTTCGGTAATACAAGAAGGGGAGATAATTGTGGAATTGGACCAAGAAGAGATTGAAGAAGAAAATAAGAATTGGGAGCATGCTATTATCTTGTATGTCATTGGCATCTTACCAATAATTGGAGCTGTTGAGAGTTTCCTTTCCGCTCAGTGGAGGTTCGCTCAAAAATCAAAAATCTATTGTTTCCATGAAGACTATTTTGTGATCTTGGTCAGCTGCTACGAGGAAAGGAATGAGTTATTATTCTCTGGTCCACAAACAATTAACAATAGGTTTGTGATAATGAAGTCATGGAGTTCTGAATTTATGATGAAGTGCTACGAACTGTGCCATTATGGGTGAAATTTCCCAATTTGCTATTTAATTCTTGGGGAATACGGACTCTTATTCGTATTGGTAGTGGCCTAGGAAAACCACTTTTTGCAGATGAGTGTACTACTTCAGTCGCTCGTATCTCGTTTTCTTGAATATTAATTGAGGTCGACATTACAAGACCTCGGCAAAAAGGTGAAGGTGAAAGATCCAAGAGGAATATTTTAGCAAGAGATAGTTTATGATTGGGAACCGGAATATTGCTTAACATGTCTAACCATTGGGCATGATTATAAGCGAGTGATTGAAAAGAAGCCTCAACCTAAGCTAGCTAAAGGAAAGAATGTCATCACCAAACAGGTTTAGCAATGAGTGAATCAGTGGCGGATATTCGAAAGGTGACACATGTTCAACAACAGGGTATACAAAAGCAACAGAAAAATCGGAGAAGGTAGCTAAGGAAACAGGGTTTCCTACTCAGCCAGAGAATAACAATGAACAACCTCAAACAGAAGGGTGGAAAGTTTTTACAGGGAAATCAGCTGGTAAATCAAATAAAATAGTGAGTAATGAAGGTGAAAACATTGGCACAAATAATGGATGTAGTCCATTAGTTGAGCCAACATACAATCATACTTTGCAGGGTCGTCAATCATTTGAAAGGGGACAAAGTAGCTAGATAGGAGCTAGGGATAACACATTTTATCTATTTGTTCCAGTATGAGTCTAATTACTTGGAATGTAAGAGGAATGAATAAGTCGTATAAGAAAAAAGAGATAAAAGGGTTTTTAAGGGAGAATAAATTGATAGTTGTATTAGAGCATAGAGTTAAAACAATAAAGGAGGCTAAAATAATCGCTAAGATTTCAGGAGGATGGAGCTGGATTTCTAATGCTACAAGTACCAGCAAGGGAAGAATTTGGGTCTCCTGACATAAGTGCTTAATGCATCCATGGAATGGCGAGAATTTATGCTTAACTTGTTGTTCAATTTCACTGTCATATATGGATACCACACAATTCAAGACAAAAGGGGTTTGTGGGAGAAACACAGGAAACTAGCAGGAGCACAACAAGGCCCATGGCTGGTAATGGGTGATTTCAACACTATAGAGTATACCGAGGATAGATAATTTGGGGCTCCTCTACAAGAAGCAGAAGTCAGAGATTTTAAAGAATTTTTATTTGACACTAGTATGACCGAGTTACAATACACTGGCTAGGGACTATACCTTGGACAACAATAGTGTATAGAGCTGGACTGATAGGGTTATAGTGATGAACTTATGGCCAACTTGGAAAGTTGTAGTAATGGAGCCTTTCTTTTCAGATCATTCCCCTTTAAAACTTACTACTGAAGGTCTGCAGGGGAAGGCTAGGCCATTCAGATTTTTCAGTTGCCTAGCAGAGTATCTAGACTTCTTACCGTTGAACAAAAATTGTTAGGATAGTATTGGTTCAAATGTACGTATGAGGCAGATATGGCATAAGCTCAAGGATGTTAAGCAAGATTTGAAGAAGTTGAACACAAGACAATTTACGGGGGTAGACAGGAAACTAGAAGAAATAAGAAAAAATCTCCAGGTGGTACAACAACAAATGGGAACTCTGTTGTTACATGCTAATTTAATAGAAGAAGAGAAGGAGCTGAGAGCACAATTAGAGAAATGGGGAGCAATTGAGGAGAGTATATACAAGCAGAAATCTAGAATCAAATGGCTTGCGTTAGGATATTCCAACTCTTGCTTATTTCTTTGTTAACATGAAGAACATGTGTGGGCAGAACTCCATTAGGAATTTACAGTCACTCCAAGGGGGATTGCTACCTATCACATTTCTACAACAAGTTGTTCTTCATTTTTTGATACAAATGAGATGTTTCAGCCCATAAACTGCACATCACTGACATTAATTCCTAAGGTCAAGAACCCTTCAACTGTCAAGGACTCTAGACCTATATCTTGTTGCACGACAATATACAAAATTATCTCTAAAATCCTAACTAGAAGACTACAAGGAGTTATGGATGATCTTGTTGATAAATGCCAATAAGTTTTTGTCCTAGGGAGAGTCATTACAAACATTATTATGGGAGCATGAACTAGTTAAAGGGTATGGAAGAAAGGGTTTATCACCTAGATGTATGATAAAGCTAGACATGCAAAAGGCATATGATTCCTTGGAGTGAGTGTTCATAGAACAAATATTTATTGGGTTGGCTTTTCCTGTTAGATTTGTTAAATGGATCATGAGTTGTCTGAAGACAGTGTCTTACTCTATTCTTGTAAATGGAAGGCCGACGACACCATTTGATGCCAGGAAAGGCCTGAGGCAAGGGGATCCATTATCCCTTTCTTGTTTGTACTAGCGATGAAATATTTAACTAGAGTGCTGAAGGCCCTAATACAAAAACCAGATTTGAGCTATTATCCTAGATTTAGCAAAATCTAGCTAGTGAATTGAGCTTTGCCGATGACTTTCTGATGTTTTACAGGGGTGATGTGATATCGGTCAAACTAATGTATGTATGTTTCCAATAGTTTTTATTGGCTTCAGGATTGATTATTAACCAGGCCAAAAACTCAATCTTCTTTGTAGGGGTGCCTGAGGATATTCAGATAGAGATTCTTAACTTGCCGGGCTTTCCTAAAGGAGAACTTCCAGTCAGATACTTAGGGGTGCCATTAAGTTCCAAAAGATTGACAATAATACAATATCAGCCTTTGCTTGGCAAGATGGTTGGAAGGGTTACCTCATGGACTGCAAAATACTTGTCTTATGCAGGGAAAACTTAGTTTATTAAAAGTATTTTATTTTCTATACAGACTTTCTGGTCACAAATTTTTGTATTGCCTAAGAAGATTATTTACATTGGTTGAGACTGTATGTAGGAAGTTTTTGTGCACAAGTGGAAATGGCTTAAGCAAGAAAGCTTTATTGTCTTGGGACAAAAGTGTGTTTACCTAAGTCTGCTGGTGGACTAAATGTGATAGGTATAACATTCTAGAATAAAGCAGCAATTTGTAAGCATTACTGGAATCTCTATAAGAAGAAAGATAGACTATGGATTCAATGGGTTATACACTTACTATATAAAAGGAAAACCTGATTGGGTAATATGTGCTAAACAAACATCGTGGATGTTGAAAAAAATCCTTAAAGCTAAAGAGTTCTTGGAGTAAGCAGGCATTTCTTTTGATGAGCTAATAGAGACACGACAATTCCCTATCAGGGAGTTGTATATAAAGCTAAGAGGGGAGTTTCAAAAGGTTCCATGAAAGAGACTAGTTTGTAATAATATGGGATGCCCAAAATGGATCTTTTTGCTTAAGATGGTAGCCCATGGAAGGTTGTATACCAGAGATAGGCCGGTAAAATAGGGAGTGACGAGTAATATTATATGTCCTTTATGTGATGTATAAGCTAAATCTGTAATGCACTTGTTCTTCAAGTGCTCATTCACTGCTTCAATATGGAATCAATTGCTAAGTTGGCGGGGTGTGGACAGAAAAGTAACGGGGTGGGTGAATGAGCAAGCATGGGCAGTCCAGTTCATGAATGGTAAAAATGCCAAGGCAGAGATCTATAGAATGAGTTTGGCTGGATGTGCGTACTATGTCTGGCAAGAAAGAAACCAACAGATATTTTAAGATAGAATGAGAGAAGATGCTACTCTGGTGAGACAGATTGTTCAAGATATACATGTTCGAGGTGCAGGCAGTAGAAGAATAGCAGGCCAAATGAACAGAATGAATTACTATCCTAGTTTCCTGCTAGTTATGAATGTAGTAGTTTTGACTTTTATAAATTTTGAAGCTTTGTAGTAAGGTAGATTGTAGAGTGGGCATTCCTGCCTACCTTGAGGGTTTTTTAGAATTGCTTGTATACTTTTTTTTCCCTGGTATATAAAATCTCTAAATACCAACAAAAAAAAAAAGGCGATGGTGCTTAGGAAATTTAAAGAACTCGAAATAGGTGTATTTAAAGGATTATTTTAAACCTACCCTAAATATCATTATAACTTAAGTAATACTTCCTCCGTTTTAATTTATCTGAACTCATTTGGTTCTACCTCCTAGAAGTTGGTTAGCTACCTCTCATTTTGTTCTAGGATTCTTCTTCTTCGTAGGTCATTTGTGGCACGCAGGAAGGGCTCGTGCAGCTGCATCAGAATTTGAAAAAGGAATTGATCGTGACTTTGAACCTGTTCTTTCCGTGACCCCTCTTAATTGAGATGAGACAGGAGATCCAATGCTTGAATGAAGTAAAAATCACTTTGATTCAATTATACATCTTGGAATCAGCCTAAGTGGGAATTGAGTTTATGAAAAGAAAGAAGACTTTTAAACTTATGGTGTAAAATGAAACTCATATTTTGTATGGCTATAAATTATTTTATAAAGATAAATTATTTCCAAATAGGTAAATAAATCATTCTTTTTTGTAAGAAGTACAATATTTTAGTATTTTCCTAGAGCAGCTAGAGCACGTCACTCTATTTTAGGTCCAACGTACGGGAAACCTTGGTACCACTTCTCTCTTTCTAGACGTGTCTCTCCAATTACTCAAATTCAACATTCCTAAACCCTAAACCCTAATTTTAGAAGCAAATCCGAACGGCCATGGCACATCACGCCGGAGACAACGACGGCGACGGCCAGAAACGGAGGCTATATAACCCATACCAAGATCTCCAAGTCCCTATACAAAACCTTTACAAACTCCCCACTTCCCCTGAATTCCTCTTCCAAGAAGAATCTCTCGCACAACGCCGATCATGGGGAGAAAACCTAACGTACTTCACCGGCATCGGTTACCTCTCCGGTTCTGTCCTCGGCGCCGGTAAGGGATTCATCGAAGGCGTAAAAGCTTCCGAGCCAGGGGATACCTTAAAGCTCCGGGTTAACAGGATCTTAAACGGGTCGGGTCATACGGGAAGGAAATTCGGGAACCGTGTCGGAATAATTGGGCTGATTTATGCGGGTATGGAGAGCGGGATGGTGGCGATTAGGGATACGGATGATGTGATCAATAGCGTGGTGGCGGGTTTAGGGACTGGAGCTTTTTATAGGGCAGCGGCGGGGCTGAGGTCGGCGGCTGTTGCTGGGGTTATTGGTGGTGCTGTTGTTGGGCTCAGTGTTGCAGCAAAACAGGCCGTGAAACGATACGTACCCATCTGAGCTTTTCGACTGGTTTATATTTTTGGGCCCTAATGTTGGTAGCTTTCAATTGTTACTGCAATTTTAGATGATACATTGAGTAATTGTTTTCAAGCTGAGCAGTAATGTAATTATTTCATGAAAAGTTGCATGCTTTCTAGATGTATTTACATGTTTTTTGAATAGATATTCTGAAATTAGGTATAAAAGACACTTGTATTATATGATTAGTTAGCTACTGCATGCCATCAAAACTGCACCTTGAAAAGCAATAATTTTTTTTAATGACTGTGGTGGTTGGACCAGCCTGCACACACTATTTCATTAGGGGCAACTCTATGCTCAAAGACTTAGGCATGTGGGAAGAAATCATGTATTAATGTTTTTCACCTCTATTGGGATTTAAACCTGATACCTCATTGTTCTCCTTTCACTTTATTGACTACTAGGGCCTCACTTTGGGTGCTATAATTATTTCATGAATGTTGTATGCTTTTTAGATGCGTTTTCATATTTCTTGAACATATACTCTGAAATTAGGTTTAAAAGAGACTTGGTATGAATAAATTTACAAACAGAGACTTGCTAGTGAATATAGCTCCTTCAAATGGTTGTTCCCTTACTTTTGTGTTCTCCGTCAATTGTCTTTTGTTATTACGACAACAACAATAAACCCGGTAGACAGATTTGTGCAAAATTTCAAGAATGCATCTTTAGCAATTGCACAAAATTTCAAGGATGCACCTGTGTAATGGTTTTCCGCTCCTAGTTTTGTACCAATTGTTAGTTACTGAAAAAGCTGTTCAGTAGATAGCATTTGGACAGCTAAATTTAAGGTGCACTTTTAGATGGCATGCAGTAGCTAATTATTTTTGCTGTAGTCATTTTTGGGTTCTTGAGATGTAATAGTTGCCATTTATTCTTTGACGGTCAAATCAAGATTATGATCTATGAACCCATCTAAAATAGTTGCTTTGACTTGCAACTGTGTTAGTTCTCTTGATGTTCAATTTTATGCTTATATATGCATTGTGACAGTTCCTAACTTGTTTGGGAACGAGGCATAGTAGTTGTTGTTATTGTATATGTACTGTGACAATTATGCTTTCTTGTTTTGCAGTTAGGTTAATTGCTTAATCTTCCCAGTAGGATCGCTGTTTATTTGTTTATGACAGTGCATAATGGTTCCTTTTTTGAAATTGGCTTATATATTGATACGATTTTCAAGGGCTTGTACTTAATGTGAGTAGACGATTTGGAAATCATTGTCCGAGCAGTAATCTTGTCTTGAATTTTGTTTTGTTACTGCTTCAACAACCATGGCATGTTCTTTTCCAATCTTTGAACAAGAACTCATGATTCATTCTTGTTGGTCAAATTCCACCCCTGATTAACTTTTTCTGAAAAAGTGATCATTTCTTGAAATATTGGATTGAACAGTTTGCAGCTCATACAAGAGCATGCTGAAATTTCCTGCAGAGCTTCTTGGCGATGTTCTATGTTGTAGTTATTTTGGTGCTTTCCAATATCTAAATTCATATTTATATTTATGTTCTTGCTATTAATTTGAAAGATAAGAACAATTTTAGTCCAAGGACGTGACCTAGTGGTTAATGAAGTGGGTGCGAACTTTGGAGATCAGGTTCATATTTCAGTAAGGCATAAAATTTTTAGGTGATTTCTTTCGATCTACTCTACTTAAGCCTTGGTGGCAGAGTTAGTCGGTACTTGTGCTCAGCAAGCATCTGGTGGAATAGTTGAGGTGTAAGCATGCTGCCCTGGAGAAAAAAACTGAAAATTTTAGCTCATTTTCTCTTATATTGGAAAAAAAATAATGTATAACTATATGACATCTTAGATATGTGTAAAAGCACGCAGAATCTACAGCTACTGATGTCAACCGAAAAAAAAACTTTTGTTTTTAGCATAATGAAGTTTTTGGTAAAAGTTCAAGGGAATGATATGATGAATTTCTATTCACTAGTGATTGCTGTGTCCGCGCTTCAGATAAGACTGTCATAGGTATTATAATGCTAATTATTACGATGCAAATTACATGATGCCTTTGCTGTTAAGTATGTGAAATCTGGCATTATGGTATCTCTATTTCATATTCATCGAAACTTAGCCCTCAACACTATTTGCTTTCACCTCACCCCCCCTCCCCCCAAGAGTGTAAGAGAGAATGAAGTCCTATGTCTTCTATTGAATAATCAGGTGTTAATATATACAAAACCTATGTCTTGTTAACTAAGAAAGTTATCGTAATAAATAAGGTTACCACTACTATAGTCTCCTAAACATATACAACTTTCTAAAATAAACGCAAAATAATATTACATCATATTTACAGCTATGTTATATCTCCCAATACTCCCCCTCAAGTTGGAGCATGAAGATCGCGAATGCCCAACTTGCGAAGTAGGTAGAAAAATTGTTGTTTCCCAAGTGCTTTAGTAAATATGTCTGCTAGTTGTTCAGAAGTGCAGAAGTGCACACATGAGATGCAACAACGTTACCAGCTGTTAAAAAAAAAAAAAAAAAAAGAATAAAAATCTCAATGTGCTTTGTACTCTCATGAAAAACTGGATTTGCAGATAAATGTAGAGCAACTTGACTATCATAACATAAACAAACAGGATCCTTGTGAAAGACACCTAAGGATTGTAACAAAGCCTTGAGCCATTTTAACTCACACACCGTTGTCGTCATAGAACGATATTCCGCTTCGGCCGAGGAGCGAGAGACAATATGTTGTTTCTTGGTTTTTCAAGAGATAGGTGAATTTCCCAGTAGAATAAAATAACCAGTTAAAGAACGTCGTGCCATCGGACAACTTGCATAAATCAGAATCACAATATGCATGTAAGAGCAAATTGCTATCAGCTCGTAAGAAAATTCCTTGACCTGGATTGCCCTTCAAATATCTCAGTACACGCAATGCTTCCTCCCAATGTCTCTCTTTTGGACAATGCATGAATTAAGCTAATATGAACTGAATAGCACAGCTCGGGACGAGTGATGTTCAAATAAATTAGTCGACCGACCAATCGTCTATATTGTTCAGGTTCAGCAAAATCATTACCATACTTCAATCCTAGCTTATGATTCTGCTCAATAGGAAAGCTAGCCGGTTTTGCTCCAAGAAGTCCAGTTTCACTCAAAATATCGAGTGCATATCTTCTCTGACAAAGAAACAGACCATCTATACCTCTAGCCACTTCTATCCCCAAAAAATATTTTAATGGCCCAAGATCTATCATGTGAAAGCAACGATGCAAATATTGTTTGAAGTTAGAAATAACACCAGAATCGTCTCCGGCAATGATCAGATCGTCGACATAAACAAGAACATGTAATGTTAACCATTCTTTATATAAGAGAATAAAGAATAATCTGCAAATGATTGCACAAAACCAAATGTCCTTAAGGCAGTAGCAAGTTTAGCAAACAATTTCTTGGAGCTTGTCGCAATCCATATAAGGATTTGCGAAGGCGACACCCTTTCCCTTGAGTTGAGGTCTCAAATCCGGGTGGAAGTTGCATATAAAATTCTTCATCTAGATCCCCATGCAACAACGCATTATGAACATCCATTTGATGCAACTCCCATTTTTTAGCCACAACAATGCTAAGAAAAACTCGTATAGTTACCATTTTCGCCACCGGAGCAAAAGTTTCATTGTAATCAATTCCAGCCACCTGCTTGTTACCAAGAACCACAAGCCGAGCTTTAAATCGCTCAATTGTACCATCAAAATTACTCCCTCCGTTTCAATTTATGTGAACCCATTTGAGTGGGCACGAAGTTTAAGAAAAGAGAGAAGACTTTTGAACTTGTGGTGTAAAATGAAACACATATATTTTGTGTGGCTATAAATCATTGCATAAAGGTAAATTGTTTCCAAATAGGGAAAGAGGTCATTTTTTTTGGCACGGACTAAAAAGGAAATAGGTTCACATAAATTAAAACGGAGGGAGTATATTTTATTTTATATACCCACTTGCATCCGATAGTCTTCTTTCCCGGGGAAGAAACTCTAATGTCCATGTACCATTCTTTTCCAATGCATCAATTTCTTCTTTCATAGCACGTCGCCAAAGAGGGTCACATACAACATCATAAAACCTTGTGGGTTCACTACCTGCAGTAACAGCTGCCAGAAAGCTCGTGTTTAGAAGAAAAATTATTGCAAGTCACATAGTTAGCTATGGGATACGACGTACCTGAGGACTGTGAATGAGTGGGTGATGAGCTTTGCGTTGGGTTATCTATGCACATAGTAGTATGACACTAAGTTGTGTAACAAACATAATCTTTTAATCTGGTGGACACTTTATGTTCCCCGACCAAGAGCTTCACTCACAGTAGTAATAGTAGTAGGAAGAGTCTCTGTATCCACAATGGTAGAACTTGTGTTCATATTTTCCTCCTGAATGGGACTAGGAGAAGTAACATCTACCCTCATTCATTTACGTTGGGCTAAATATCAAAACTCCCCCTTGAGTGAATAGAGGGTGAGTGATCAGGTTGCATAATATGATCATTAGTGGGGAAGCACCAGAGGAATCCGGCGGAGTGGTAGGCTCAAAGTCAAACACTGAACTAACATAAGGGAAGACTTTTTCATCAAAAATAACATCACGATACACAAAAGAATCTCCATTCTCTAAATCATAGACACGCCGTCCCTTCTTCCCGAAAGGATAACCAACAAAAATACATCGACGACTCCTAGAGCTAAACGGGACCTAACATGAGCAAAACATAGACATCAAAATACTTTTAGAGGCTTATAGGAAGTGTTTTTCCAAAAAATTAACTCATAAGGAGTCTTTCCATCTAATATGGGAGTAGGAGTATGATTAATAAGATAAACTGCAGTCAAAACACATTCTCCCCAAAATGAGATCGGCAATGTAACGATCCGATCGATCGTTTTGCTTTTTAGAACCCCGTTCCCTTAAATAAGACTTTCCGTATATTCTTTTACTATTTTATGACTCGCGGGGATGGTTAGTTCGGGATTTGGAAAGGTTTGGGTTGAAATCGGAACACTTGGTTCCTTTAAGGTTGGCCAAAATGGCTAAGTTTGACTTCGGTCAAAAATTTGGGTAAATGACCTCGGAATCGGGTTTTGATGATTTCAATAGGTTCGTATGATGATTTTAGAATCGGACATATGTTCGTATCGGGTTTTCGATAACCCGGGAGCTTTTCGGCGCATAATAGTGAAAGTTGACTCTTTGAAAGTTCTAAAGTTCTTTAAATTTGGTTTGGAGTAGGTTTTGGTGTTATGGAGGTCTAATTGGGATTCCAAGATCAGGAATATTTCTGTATGGTGATTTAAGAGTTGCACGCAAAATTTGGTGTCATTCCGAGTAGTCTAAATATGATTCGGCGCGTTCGGAGCGATTTGGAACCTTGAAGTTCATAACTTGATTCAATTTGGTTTTGGGGTGTGATTCTTGGTTTTATTGTTATTTTACATGTTTTGAGAGTTCGAGCAGGTCCTTATTATGTTTATAGACTTGTTGGTTGATGTGTGTATATAATTCCATAGTTTCGTACATTATGTGCCTTGCATTTTACATGTTTTAATGATAAATTACACTTTATTTGCGTGTAATTGAGTCTATTTTATGTGTAGGTGAATTGGAGATGAAAGTAGAGCAAAAGGGATACCTAAACGTTGAGACTGTGCTCGAGAGCAGTAAAAAAAAGAGGCCACGCAAAGGCTAGCTCAACCAGGATTTAGCCTGGCGAGGCCAACCAAAAGCCAGGCTAAACCAGGCTTTAGCCTGGCAGGCCAGCCAAAGGCCAGGCTGAGGCTGGCGACGCCAGGCCTGGGGCCAGGTCCAGTCCGAGTTTTGAAGGCTCCTAGTTTGACTAGGACTTGTCCTACACGTTTAGGTCTTTTCCTACACATATAAATAGACCTAAAACGTCACTTTTGACATACTTTAGACAGACAAGAGGGATATCGAGTTTGGACA